CACAGAAAGGGTGAGAAAAGTGAGTTTGCTGAAGGAAACCCCGCACAAGGCTTGGTCAAACCGCCTGGGTGCCAAGAAGGGGGCGCCGGGTTTCGGTGCGTGGGCAGGACCCAAGGAACGTGCCTGGCCTGACAGCGGGACGGGGGGCTCCGGCAGCGGGAAGGAAAGGGTCAGGCTCCGCCAGGGCTCGGGAGGGGACGGTGCGGCGGTGCGACCCGATGTGCTCCCTGCCATGCCCGCTCCAGAGGCTGGATGAGGTGCTGCTCCTGATGCGCAGCCTCCAGAGGCACAGTGCAGGCACGCTGGGAACCGAACGTGTCCGTGGGGGCACGGCCCTATTGGCAGGGAAGAGCAATTAACCTACTGATGTCGCTGGGGGAGGGGATCTTCAAAGAGGACAGGCACTAAGGTTCATGCTCCTTTACCTCCCAGAGCGCTAATTCCGGAGAATTACAAGGCAAGAGGAGAACGAGCTCCCTTGCTGAGTCAGCGGCTGCAGCACTGGCTGAAAAAGCAGCGAGACTGAGGAAACGAGTGCCAGAAAAGCCTGTGCCAACGACACTGGAGAAGCCGTCCCAAGGAAAAATCCCAGACAACTTCGGTGTTCTAAAAAAATGCATTTTGAAGGTGGTTTCTACAACCTACGACAAGGAACAGCGAGGAACTGGCTTCCGCTTTTCTTCCCGGGAGCTCTGGAAATCCACTGCCTGCTCCTCGGGGGACCGACTGTGGGACAGAGCCCCCGGCGCTCGGGAAGGCAGATGGGTTCGCAGGAGCGCTGGGCCAGCGTTCCTCTGGTACAGCTGGGGCGACATCCCAGGGAGGGAAATGGTAACAAGCACTTCAGTCTTTTTCCCCCTTTTTGGAGCTGAACCTTTGGTCTCGGCCGGAATCCGAGACTTGACCCTGTCATAGAGCCTGGAAGTGCCTGTTGGCCCTGGCCACGTGCAGTGTCAGCGCTGGACGGGCGCTCGGGCTCGGGCTACGCTTCCCTCTGCCCTGCTCTGCACTCTTTCGGAGCTCGGGTGTGCCATGAAGCCCCCTCCCCGCGCTGGCACTGCCTGCCTAGCCCCTCTGAGAAGCTGCTCTCCCTCCAGCCTCGCCGGAGACAGGCGCGTGCGAGGGAGGGTAAACTCCCGCAGCGGGGCAGGAACCAGCTGTCGGCCCTCTGCTTTGGCTGCTGAGGGAAACCTCAGCGACTGCGCCGTCAGAGCAAACAGCGGCATAGGGATCGCAGGTTCTGGCCCCAGGACGTGTTCTATAAACGCTGTGCCTAACCTCGACGAACAAATGGGATGACAAAGCCACGACCTGGGCCTTAGCAGCGTGTTGTTACGTGTCTGCAGCTCGAGGAGAAGGGCCTGGGGGGACACGTTACCGGCCGTACGACTCTGCCCGTCACAGCAAACAGCTCGCTGCTCTGGGGGCTGCAGAGGAAGGGCCCGTGCATGGGGCTGGCTCCCTGGGGAAGCCTAAGTGTAGAAAACTGCCATTTTTGAAGGCTTCACTAATAACTGCTTTGAAAAAAGCAACCCAAAAAGTCCTCCAACAAAAACATCCCGCTAACCCCGCGACCCCGGCGTGAGGGTTCGCTTCCCCCCTGCGAGCTGGTACGTTTTCCGTACCGGCCGGCACTCACCGACACAACTGCACGAGGGGAAATCGTACTGGGTTTTGGCGGGTGTGTCCAACAGATTTTTGACAGGAGTATCCAGTAACTTGGAAGGTGAGTCTAAAAAATTATTGAGAACAGTTCCAGCTGTTCTTTTGGTCGGGGTTTTCTCAGCAGAGGAGTTTCCTTGCGGATCTAGGGTTGGGGTGTGAGTGTCAAAGTCTGCAGCACCGGTAGTTCTCGAGAGGATGGTGATGGGCCCTGCCGTTTCCACCTTCACATGTTTAGGTGACTTCATAGTAAAAGTCTTGTGATCGAACAGTGATTTGACCTGGATCTGTTTCAGCTGCTGCTCCATTGTCTCGATGATGCTCTTCTGTTGCACGTGCTCGCAGCCAAAGTGCTGATTCTCTTGTTTAATGGGTTTCCTCCACATTTTGTTTTCCAGCTGTCCGGCCGAGGGACGCATACAGGCGTTCGACTTTACACCGGCTTCGGTTTTTATGGGCTTGCGCGTGGGACCGGCCTCGGGCTTGGGTTGCTGGTACGCTTGCTGCTCCTGCTTCTGCAGGAGATGCCACCTCAGGGCAGCGTGCTTTGGGAAATCCTTGGGGGCTTGGGCCTGCAGGTGACAGCCCCGCTGGTCCTGCGGGTGCGGGGCCGCCGGCTGCGCTAAGTACCGCTGAGGGACGTGCGGGGCTTGTTGGCCCGGGAGGTCCGGGCCCAGGCCGCCCCCGTAGCGCTGCGGCTGCTGGAGCGCTGGTAGCGGAACCGCTGGAGCTGGCTCTTCTTCCTGAAAGCAGTGATTGGCGTCTTGCTTGGCGGTCACGTTACTGGAGAAATACTGCGCGTGCTGCAAGTCCTGCAGCTTGCTGGCTCCGAAGCGCTCCGCGCTCCCGGTGTTTTCCTTCTTCTCGGCAATCAAGTGCACGTTGTTTGGGCAGGGATGCTGCGGACCGGTGCTGGCTTTCTGGGTGTAATGGGGAGCTTTGTCGTTCGTGCCCTGTACCTGCTCTGGGCCCAGCGGAAGGTTACGCAGCGGGAACGCAGCTGACTTCAGGTACACATTCCCGGCGTGGAAACACTCCTCGGCTTTAAGCCGACTGAAGGATGTCCTGTCCAGCAGCTGCTCGGCGCTGCTTTGGGAGAGGGCAAGGCTTTGGGGCAGGTCTGTATTTTTCATCTGCAGAGCCTGCTGCTGGTTCGGGCTGAGCTGTGGACCGCACG